TAAATACAACTCAGGGGTGCTGCCCTGAGTTTTAAACTTGATGTGTATTTTTTTATATTTTAAAAATCATTTTTGTTATTATGAAGCCAATAATAAATGCAAAGAAAAGGGCATGATATCGCTGCATCATTTTTGTCTCTTTAATGGAAGATTGAGTTTATGAGGACATTGGGAGATCTATATAAATATTTAATAGACTGAGGTACCATTAGGGAGAGAAACACACTTGGAAACCTGCAGAAAAGCTGTATGTTTATTTTCATAAATAAGAATTTTATAACCAGTGCATGGCTAGTCACTTTACAATGCCTTGTAGAACTGACAGTAATTGTTGGTTATGGGAAGCCTGTAAGGAGATTTGACCTTGGCAATCCAGATGCCTTCTTCGTTGGTGAGGTTTGCTTTTCCACTCTCATGGAGTAACAGAGATACACGAGTGAACTGCTCAATGGGTATTCTCCTCAGTTATGGGACCTCAATACACATATTTTGTTATCACACATCAAGAAGGCTAAATTCTTGTGCTTAACTACTTTTCTCACACATGAAGGGAAAACACAAAACAACTTTAATTTGGTAGAATGAAAGCAGTGACTAGCCCACAAACTAAAGCAGAATTTTAGCTACCTTCTTTGTAAAATTGTAAGTTTAAAAAAAATTGTAAGTTTATTCCCATAGCTCTATCTACAAAAAATATGTGTGATTTGGACAATTTGTTTTGTTTTAAAAGATATTTTCATTTACCATAACAAAAACTCAGGACTTGTGTTTCCCTAAAACGATTTCATAAAAGAAAAAACGATGTTTTCTTTTAAAATACCTGAAAATTTCATCAACTAAACAACATGTGCATGAAGGTGTAAATTACTTTTCTTTACGTAATGAAACTTAATACCCATGCCAAATAGAAACAGAAGTATTGTTGAATACATGGTTTAAATCAAAAAGTTTCTACTGCATTTGTGAAAAAAAATGTCATGCAGAGAATTGATAAATGAAATATCAGCCACACAACATCATAAACAAACAATAAAAAGGCCCAGACACATATTAGTTACATAAAACACATATCTATTTACTCAAAAGATACAGTAAACTTTTATATTTCAGAGTGAGCGCTGATACAGAAATAAAAAAAAGCTAATGCTCATAATTTGATCAAAGCACAAATAACTTGCCTTACAAAGAGAAGTTCTAAACATAAATCACATAAAAATGATAAGCTCAACTAAACCTTTACTTATAACATCAATAATCACCCTTAATCATTGTACATAGTAAGGATTTAAGGCACAAAAGAAGCAGTGAAGCAACAACCAGAATAAGTTTTTTCCAAACTTCTTTTGAAATTGACTATGGCCATTCCCTCTTCCCACTTGCCATGACATTTGTGGTCATAACTCAGCCACTCAATTAGACTATGTGGTTTAAACTGATAAAACTATAGGGAATTCATTTGGTCCCATTCACAGATTGAAGCTAAGTCTGTTGTTGGCTTAAGTCAACAGAGCTCCATTACTTACCTCCTGATTTTATAAATGCTTTATGGTTATCCAGACATTTTAAAATTCTTTCCTAATTCCCCGTATTTTATAGGATGCCTGCCTTTTCCAAAACAGTATTTCCCTCTGCATCAACAGGTTGGAATGCACTTTCACACTCTCTCCAAGTCCCTTAGAATTCATAAGAAATACACAAATTTTATATGGTAAGAATCAGACCCATTTCCATACCAGGATAATTTCTGGGAAGCAAGAATCTTAAGAGCATTTACAAGACTGATATTTAATAACAAAGAACTGCATATACTCATCACCTGAGACAGATTAACCTTAAAAAAATGCAAAGAAAACAAGAAAGTGGTGCCACTCCAGGACATTAGAGTCACTCAGGGACACTATGAAGTTTCTGCACTGAACCAGAGCATTATAGATAAAGAGGTGAAACAATAAGTCAGTCTTTTATTCTATTTGTAGTGAACCTGGCTATTTGGTACCAAAGAGAGTCCTCTATGCATTCCTGCAAAGCATGCACACACATTCATGAACAGTGGTAACCTTTGGACAGAGCCTTTGTTGGTATGAAATATTCTGCACCTGAGGCATATATGGTCCTTAGGGCTGGTAACAATGAACTAAGGGACTGGACTCTGTCATTAGGTCAGGAAAACAAGGTGATCCATCATCTGTCTGTCTGTCTATCCATCTGCAATCACTCCTCCATACAATAAATTTTTCATCAAAATTCTGGTAACTTTCTTACTCTGAAATTTTAAATTTCTTAAAGTCTCCAGGAAACAAGTTTTAAAGCACCATGATCTATATCATTTCTTAGTGTTTCCTCTCCACGTGTGTTTTACACATTGCCTCTCTCAGAAGAGCCTTATTCTATTAACAACGCTATGCCTGGAGAGGCCTGTTCAGTATTTTAAAGTGTGTGAGTGCAACTGTACAAGTATTTGATATGTATAGGTGAATATCTATTTATTCTCTCTGTTCAGATTGGCAACAGTTCAGATGTTTCTTTCTCTCTAGTAATTAATCTGCTTTAAAAACTTGCTTTGCTGCTTTATTGATCAAAATGAAAGTACAGAGTTAATTCTTTAGGAGAGTCAGTGAATAACATAAAGAAGCCTTCTTGATGTTCTATGGTCACAATTTTGAATAGACAGACGTTCATCCCATCTTATGTATAAGATAGGTCATTTAGTGAAGTCTTCCAGGATGTTGGTTTATGAGCTATACGCTGGAAAAGTTAGCATGAAGAAGCTCACATTAGTATGGCTTCACAACCATATCCCTCAGAGATATCCAAGAGACTCCAAGCCACATACCTAGGGGCTGGTTCTGTCTTTACAGACCATACCAGGAGCCAACACTCCAGAATAAAACATGAGGGTATCATGCTCTTCCTGTGAGTCTGGCATTTGAATATTTCCCAAAACGCATAGGGGAAAATGTCTTATTAAGTGGAAAGTCATCCTATGGCTATAGAGAAAAATAGTGAGTAAAAAGTTATCATATGGCCATAATATCATATTGTATAACTAACTAGAAATCAGTGGATGCTGCCTGGGTGATGAACAGAGGAGGCTACGGAGCAAGATGGAACATCTTTAGCATGAAAATGACACTAGCTAAAATTTGTGTCTTCTTCTGCAAAACTCTAATGTTCCAATTCAACTAAGCAACCAGTTGTTTATAAATGTCTTAGAACCCAATTAAGTTTGAGGAAAGAGTTCCTTAAAACTAAAAGCATTCCTCTGGCTAGCACACCAAAGCTACAGGGGTTTTTCACAGTATCCTCCCTCTTGGAAAGGAACAATACTTGCAGCCTAACCCAGATCTCTTCTGCTCACTCACATAAATGCTCTCCAGATCTGTCAGTGAGCCCAGCTTAACCCTTGCAGCTAGCCTGCCACCAGGACCACCATTCCCACAGAGAAAACATCCACATGGGGGACGTGAATCAGCATTCCTCCTTTGTGTTGACGTCATCTCCAAAATGACAGGCACACTTTGCATTTTCTGTGAATGATGTCTTCCCATGGTTAGACGACATATTTCATTTTTTTTAGTGATATATGTCTGCAAAGTGTTATAGAGTGATTAGTTGTTCATGCCCTCAAGGGAGGCCACAATTATATCTTGTCAACAGGCGGTAAAACATGCACATTGGTCCAAGAGAAGAATTATATCCTAATTTTTAAATTTTTTGCTACAGTTACTATGACCTCTCATCATATTGAAGTATTTGTATACTTTGTTTTTCATGTAAAAACATTGGGCTTCATTGAAATAACTCTTAAAAAGGCTCTGAAAACCTAAGCTTCATAGTATAATGAAGAACAGGAGGGGAAAAAAAAAACTCAAGAGATCTCTTTTAAAGAAGGAAAAAAGAGAAATTCATTAAAGAAAGAAAAGGGAAAGAATCATCTTGAGAATTAGTTATAATTTCAGGCATTTAACCCCTGATTTCTATAAACTATTTAAAATAATTAACCCCAGGCCCAGTAATGGCATGGGAATTTAACATTAAAAAACCAGCTAGTCTTATTTCCCTAGCAACACAAGACTGTTGTTTGTAGTCTACTACATCTCATATTGTCCCATTTGAAAAAATAAGCTGACTTGTAAAAAGCACAGTCTAGATTTTTATACAAGAAATATAGAACCCTCGTTGACAATTCATCCTCCCAGATCAATACACCCTTATATCACAATCTCTTTCCAATACTGTTACATTATAGTCTCTGTTTATGCTTCCTATTTGTAGAAAATACTAAAATAGCTGCTAGGAAAAAATACATTAGTTCTCTGTAGTATTATTAAGTGCTTGATATAGCTACCTTTATTCCAAATGGCTGGTTATAAAACCTGGAGGGGAAGAAAATCTTTTAAATTTAGGATTAACAATGAATTCTACAAAAGCACTGGAATTTTACATTTCAAATTTATAACGTCTACATAATCACAAAATATTTTTAATACGAAAAAATATATTATTTCTATATTTAAGGAAGATCTGCATCATCTCTTGACAATTCAAAAAACTAATACAATCGTATTTTTCCCCATATCTACCTAACAAGGCCATTGGGAGTTCATTTAATTAGCCCACAGAATTGTAATAAGGAACTGGTCTCATTACGACAACTTAAATATTTTTCAACAATTTCTCCCAGATGGATTCTAATTATTTAGGAAGGAATCTGCTTGAAAGTCTAAACATAACTGGCCATTACAATAAACATTTGCTAATAACCATAGGGGCAAAAGTATGACAAGGCCAATCCTAACAGAAATAAGGAAAAAAGCAAGTCAAATGGAGCAGTGACAAACTCTTCCTATTAGGCAGTCTAGTTTTTTTTTTTTTTTTTTTTTTTGTAAAAAACTGGAGGGAATTCAATCTTTAGATTAGCCAATACAGAGTTTTCTAACATAAGAACATGATGGAGAAGAGATGGATATTACTGGTGAGGGCAGACTAGTTCCATGAAAATCCACAGAATACCAGAACTTGCACACCAGCCAGCCAGGTTCAGTGAATATAACTGGGTGTCCCATGGTAAAATTCCTTCCTGAATGTGTCACTAAAGACACAAGGATTAAAACCTGAAGCGCTTGAGGGAATGTCATGTCAAGATTAATCACCACTACCCTGAATGAAGACTTCCACCTTCCAAAGTGAACACCCTGTGCTGTCTTTTTAATTTGTGTAAGATGGATTTGGGATGAGGAGGAAGAAAGAAAAGAATGTTGACAAGTCACGGAAACATTTCAATCTATTGCCAGTCTCTGAAACTAAACTACAGTTGTTTATGCAAGAGTTTATTGCTTTAAAAAAAATAGTACATGCTTTCCTATTACCATCTCTTTAAAATTCTCTGCCTTCCTAGATAAGTGCTATAGGATAAACTCCCATCTAATAGCCTCATTTCTAAATTTATAGAAAAGGATCCAATAGGTGTGGCCCTATTCTTTTCCATCGCTTATAAAGACAAGTGGCCAATTGTCATCCGGGGAAAGTGCTCCTATACCCTTTTAATTTTCCTAAAAGACTTTTAAAAATACATTCCATGAAAAGAAGTCACTCCCCTTTAGTAGCTATTCAAAATTATCTAGTCTTTCCATTAAGCCTCTAATCTTAAAATTCAGTAGGTAGTATTCAACCATATTGTCACATTATGTTCCGCAGTAACTATATCCTTATTATTCAAGTATTATAACCCTTCATTTTTCTGATAATCAACATACTCTTCTTTTTGAAAATTATCTATGCTATGACAACATAGTCCTTGTTTTGTTTGTTGTTCTCATTTTCTCATTGTGGGCTGGTGATTTTTACTTCTGGTCTTGGTGGTCTTTGGTGGTCTAAGTCAGCCTGGAAGAAGAGAGATCATAACAAAGATATTTAGCTCTTTAGTCACAAAGGTCATAAAATTCGCAAGGAAAAAAAAATACTCTGTGTTTCATGTAAAATCGTATAAATATTCAATTAAAAATAGTTCCTTGGGTCCCCTTTCTTTTTCAGTTGAGCATTACCCAGTGGACATGCCATTCTCAACACCTTGCTTGCACAAAAGTCCTGCCTGGAACCATAATCTACGATGTGCTTCCTAAGAAGCACAGACTCATTTCTTGTGCTACAGGCTTTACTTTTCTCAATTTTGCCTCTTGATTACACTTTTAAGTTTTTCTTTTCAACAGCGTATTTATACTTTTCATTTCAGCATTTTCAGAGGAAAGAGGAAAAAAAGCACAGCAATTCTATCCTCATGTCACATTAACCCAGCCCCATACCAGATGTTCTTCTATTAGTTAGAGTTCACAAACTCTTGTGAATACAGTACCAAGTGCCATCAAGTATCAGAGAGAGAAGAGCAGGAAGGAAATCAAGTATAGAGCAGTATTTCTCCAACAGCAATGGCATCCCTGCCCCTTGAACTTCCTTTAGGGTATTAAAAATCGTGTCTTGTGTACAATGCGTCCTTTTCCTACTAGATTGAAATCCAAGGGGATGAGATTAGAATTAGTTGATTTTCAAACTCTGCCCTAGGGAACCCTGAAGGCTCCACAGCCGCCAGAGGGCCAGTGTGAAGACAGTAGGACTAGCTCCAGGGCCCCTCCACCTCCAGCCATAATTTCTGCACAAAAAAAAGAAAAAGAAAATGACCGGGGTGGTCTCTTATTTCACGTTATCTCAAGAAGTGTTTCAAATAGTACTTTGAATATAACACAAGCCCAATAAATGTCAGTTGCTTGTTGTGTATCTGTCATATGCACCTGCTGTCTTCCTATAATCACAATATACTGTGTCTAAGGACAGCTACATAGAACAAAATGTTACACGATAAACTGAATTCTTAGTCATTTGAGAAGTAAACAGTCCTTTGGAAATGGTTAATTTTTAATGTATAATTTATAATTCATATGTATCTTCTTTTTCATAGACTTGATATGCTTAAAATGTACCTGAACTAGTACTTTAGGAAGAGTGAAAACAACACACACTGCCATTATAAGAGGGATGAGTCAAATAAGATTCAATCTCTTTCTGGGTAACTGCTTTGCTCTGGTATTTGCATAGTTTTTAAAATCCCTAACTCAGGACACCTGGGTGGCTCAGCAGCTGAGCATCTGCCTTCAGTTCATGGCATGATCCCAGATCCCAGCTTCAGGGATCGAGTCCCACATCGGGCTCCCTGCAAGGAGTCTGCTTCTCCCTCTGCCTGTGTCTCTGCCTCTGTCTCTCTCTGTCTCTCATAAATAAGTAAATAAAATCTTTTTAAAAAATAATAAAATAAAATAAAATCCCTAACTCGCCATGTATCAGGCACTTGCTCCTTTGCAATTCCACAAGCTTAGATTCCCGTCAATACATTCTGGGGAAACTTGCACTTCAAATTATATAACCTTGATCTTGACTGAGGCTCAATTCTTATAAAAGGCTTATTTTTAAAAGTTAAACTTACAGAATGGAAATATAGGTAGGTCATCCATTCATTTCCGTAAAACAGTTTTAGGTTATGACACTGAAGGAAAACCTAGACTACTGGAAGGGTACATACTGGATCTTACCACCTAGGTCCCACATAGGATTTACACTTTGATTTCATGCAGTGAATTTTCATCGAAGGCAGCCATCACAAAGAACTTCGCGAAGTCTACTATTGCAGTCACCATATAAATGACAATGTGTTTTCCATATGACACAAGCAGATAAACCATTTTGCTTCCTTTCAGAAAGTAAAAGTGTGTTTGTATAGGCATGTGTGTGTCTGTTTCCTTGAGAAGTTCATTTTGTTTCCTTACTGAGGGAAAAGGAATCATGTAATTGACTGAATTTTTTTTCTAATTTTAGCTACAAACAACTTCAGAATATAAACTGTCACTAAATTTCAGTGACTGTGGAGAACTGCAGATGGGGAATTTATTGACTACCACTATGAGTCCCTCATCTTGAGGAAAGATGAAGTGGAAGACACGTTGGGTGTTTTCATTTAGATGTTAAGGATGGTTTTTGTATGAGCCAGAATAACAGATTACAGAGAACTCTGTACTGGTTATTGAAACCTGGCCACAAGAACTTGTTCGCATTTTAACATTACTAAATTTGATCCCCTTCTAAGCAAAATAAAACAGATGAAGCAATAATAAATCATCAAGAGAAGCCCACTCATGAGACCGGGCATCAGGAATAATGATAGCAAAGCCCACTTGAGAGGTTACAGCCTGAGGGAGGTGGGCCCTGGCCAAATAGATAGACAGGAAGGGCATATGTGGTTAGTGGGGATGCTGTGCAGTTCACCCTGCCCCTCACACTGTGACACTGAACTTGAGCCTATTTATCAGTCCCTAATTTAATCCTCTCTCCTCTGGAAGAATGCCTGCACATTGAGAATATCCTGCTGCAGGAACCCTGGTGGAAAAGCAAGCTAGGAAGGAGGCTTTACCACGTATTTCCTTACCCTCTATGTATAATAAGTAGAACCACATGTTATTAAGTTCTGGTGCATCAAATGCTTAATTTGGTTAATCCATTTAACACAGACTAAACAAGTCAAACTAACATCTCCAAAGACGTCACCTGTGACAGAGGTGACGTTCTTTCTTTCATGTCTAGGTCTCATGGCCTTGATGCTCCTTTCTTGTCTGTACCTTTCCTGATCTTAATGTATTTGCATCTGTTTATATTTGTTATATACATTCTTAGGACCTCTGCAAACTTTGTAGAATGAGATTAGGATGGATGGATGGGTAGGTGGGTGGATGAGTGGGTGGATGGGTGAAATGGGTAGATGAGTGGGTAGATGGGTGGATGAGGGGATGGGTGGTTAGATTGGTGGGTGAGGGGATGGGTGGATGGATGAGTGAGTGGATAGATGGGTGGGTGGGTAAGGGGATGGGTGGGTGAGGGGGTGGCAGGGTGGATGAGTGGGTAGATGAGTAGGTAGATGAGTGGATGGGTGGGTGAAATGGATGGATGAGTAGACGGATGGGTAGATGAGTGCGTGGGTGAGTGGATAGATAGGTGGATGAATGGGTGAATAGATGGATGGATGAGTAGGTGGATGGGTGGATGACAGGACAGATGCATGGATTCTGATAGATGGATGACAATACTTATTAATGGACTGAAATAACATAGTCGAGTAAATGGTATTGAGTCCTTCCCTGCTCAACAGTAAGTGGTTTCAAAGAAAGACTTAAGAAAGTCTTAAGTGCTTGAATAATTTGCTAAGTGCCTGGGCATGTACACCACACACATATTCGAGCATGAACACCAGGGAGCAAAAGCAATAGAAATACCTCATTTTGTCCAGTGCCAGCTCCTTGAGACTTGACATCCTCGTCCACTGCCTCCTGAAGCTCAGTAGTAACCTGATCCAGCTCCTCCCCATTTTCTTCATCGGTGCCTCCATTACCTCGGGTGGGACCTGCAGGCTCCTCCCTGTGGTCCGGGACCTCCTCCACCTCCTCAGAGGCTTCCGTAGCCTCCAGATCTCCTCCTTCTTCAACTTCACCATTCATTCCCGAAAAATCTTCTTTCTGCTCTGCATCCTTGTTTGCTTTCTCTCCATCTTCTTCCTCATCTACTATTTCTGCTGGTCTCTGGTGGGTCAGAATGAATAACAGATGAAAACAAGCAGCGCAACAGAGATTCTGCACTGCACATTAGAATGATGTAATAATTACTATACCACAGTCAGGTAAAACTTCCTTACATGTGAATAGCAGTCTGCAGTAGAGAACGTGCTAACTCTCATTAAATACCTACTGAACGCCACTCTTCACCAGGATTTCCTCATTGGCTCCTCACCACAATCCTGTGAGGTTAGTATTATTCCCCTATTACAGGTGAGAAAACTAAGGTACAAAGAGACCAAGTGTCTAGCCCAAGATCCTACTGTATATAAGTGAAAGAGCCAGATCTGGGATGAAGCATGTACCTCCAGTGCTTAGAAGCCCCTGGGGCAGAAAGGAAGCCAGACTGCAGGGTCCTTGGCCAATATCTAGTGGAGTGTCCCACCCTGAGGAGGAGGTTTAAAAAAAAAAAAGACAAAAAGTCCTGTGGAGATGTCATCATCCTTACCACAACTGCCTGGTGTGTATTTACGTCTCTAGGTACAGAAAGAGAGCAATGGTGGTAGTACCAGGATGTGAACCCAAGTCATCTAGCACCAGATGTGGACCACTTCCTACACAATGCCTGGGAGTTCATGGTGTATCTCAAAACACAAAAACGATCGTGCAGATCTGAGGCCAAGAAACTATATGTTCTTTCTATAAAAACAATAAGTGCTCAGGAATTTATAAGCTCCAATTAGGCATTTCACAGTTATTTGGATACATGTAAAGGTGCTTTAAAAGACACAAGGGGCTGACTTCCAGAGCCAAGACTTTGGAGACCCAGGTTCAAGCACTGGCCATCCATCAGCTAACTCTGTGAGCACCAGAGTCCCCACTTATAAAAGGAGAATATAATAAAACACCCAGGGGGAATAAATGAGAGAAGTTATATGCATGCCTACCACTGTACCTGGCACATCACATCCTAAGAAAACATTAGAGTCGCTCCCCATCTGTCTGATACACTCTGTCCTAGAACCTCAGGTTTTTCATTGCCTCCAGTAAAATAACAGCTTTTCTTTTAAAGTGTAGGAAAGAACAGGACTTGTTCTAAATTAGGACTCTAGCCTGCCTCTTTCTGGTTGACAGTAGACAGGTCACCTAGTCCTCCAGCATCTATAAAAGGAGGGTCTGAGATGCAATTACCCCTACCCCCCCTTGTAGCTCTGGAAATCCATTCTCCTCAAGCTGCACAAATGCTTCTTATGAGGTCGGTCTTCATGGTCTTCTTGTAAAATTAACATAATACTCTCCATTTTGGAAGTAAAGGGAAAACAAACAAAGTAGACTGAAAGTTCAGGGCAAAACTCGACACATTATTTTGAAGCGGAAAGAGCTTATATTCTGCTCAAAGTAGAGTCTCAGTTTTGACCGCATGATTATCAAAGACATACTTTAAAAAAATGAAAGAAAAAAATCAGTTGCTCTTAAGATATTCCAATAACCGTCGTCTTTTGTCTTCACACAGCTTAAATAATAGTACAGTGTGGCTCTGTCTTTCACATTTCCACTCGGATGCTTAATGTCGAAAGGCATGGGGCCCCCAAGACCCCTAAGCTTGCTGCCCAGGGCGAGGCCCCTAGGAAGGCCAGAAATGGGCACGTATGTGTGTGGGTGAATCTGCCAGATGGTGCTAAGAGAAAAGACAAAGATTTATGGCATGGAACCCCACAATGTTTGGCAAGGATTTCCAGCTTTTATGTATAAGACCTAACTGAAGGTGAAAAAAACTTCCAATCTTGAAGAGGCAAAACAGTATGCTCCCATCTCCTAAGCCCTATCCCATTCTCTCTATACAGAGAACACTCATGGCAAGGCAATGAGGCAGACACGCTTCGAGCAATGGGCAATGGAAGAGTCTGGTAAGTGAGAGGGTGGGCACTGTCATTATGAAAGCAGAAGAGAGGAAATGTCAGAGAGGGGACTCCAGGTGAGGAAGAGCTAGAAGAAGGAGCCAACTCAGAGAATCACGGTGGGTGGCTTCCCACTCAAGAGGTCAAGAAAACGCTGAGGGGTTTCGAACCCAGATCCAGAAGCTTCTTTCTTAGTGACTCAGAAGGATATGTGACCCTAAAAAGACATCTGGAGGGATCTGTCGCCATAACCCTCATGACTGGGCCTGGAGACCCACCTGGACTGAACAACAGTCTAGATGCTGGACATTCAGAGACAGATATGACACAGAGTCTCGAATCAGGGAGCTCAGAGCAGTACAGTCACAGGGCACAGTATAATACAGCATGAGGTGATAAGTGCCCAGAGCATGGGTCAGGAAAGGGACCTTTCACAGTGGGGGTGGCAGCCTGCCATCAGGTCTCCAGGCTTTGGTCACCATGACCAATGAAACACCGCATGAACACTGCTTGTGGGTGGAGAACACAGTGCAGCACACGTCTCCCGTCCATGCTGAGTGTCATGCTCTGTGTTCATCCATTTATCATTCCTGAAACCCTCACAACAACCCTGCAAAGTACACTTCTTATATCTCTTACCCACATAAGGAAGATGAGAAACCACTCAACGCTTCAGCCGTGGTGACCAAGTAGGGCTAGGATTTGAACCCAAGGCAGTATTTTTTTTATATTTTATTTATTTATTCATGAGAGACACAGAGAGACAGGCAGAGACAGAGGGAGAAGCAGGCTCCATGCAGGGAGCCCGATGTGGGACTCGATCCCAGGATCACGGGATCACACCCTGAACTGAAGGCAGATGCTCAATCGCTGAGCCACCCAGGCATCCCAAAGATTTTATTTATTTATTCATGAGAGACACAGAGAGGTAGAGACACCAGCAGAGGGAGAAGTAGGTTCCCTGCGGGGAGCCCAATGTGGAACTCGATCCCGGGTCTCCAGAATCACACCCTGGGCTGAAGGCCGCACTAAACAGCTAAGCCACCCGGGCTGCCCCGCAAGGCAATATTTTGCCAAGTCCTGCTATTCTTCCTCAAACAATGGGAGAAGCTGCTATTTCACATAGTCACTACCGTGTTTTCAACAGCCAGAAAATGTGACTCTGCAAGAGGCAACATCGCTTTTAATATTTAAAGAATGACCGACCTGAGAACAAAAACATTTCTGGATCTCTATTAAAGACTTTTGGTGTGATCTAGGGAGGGAACATTATAAAGATTGTTAGGCAGAGTCCCTGAAGCATTACATACAAAAATCCAAAAATACTACAGCACTAATGGCCAACAAGAGCACATTTCTTTTTAAATTATTTCTGAGAACTGGATAATTGTCTATCACCCTCCTAGAAATCATTAAGGTACCTTAACTTGCCCATTTGGTTTTGGTTTGAAAGAGAAATTACACAAAATTTTATAATAAAAGCATTTAATAATAATAACAGAGAAAACCCAAAATTTATGGTGATCATTTAGGAATCTAGATCTGTTCCTTCTCTCTGAGAATACAAGAGCTTGCTGAAGTCTGTTAAGGTGTCTACTTCTTTTTTTTTTAATTCTTTTTTTTAAAGATCTTATTTATTTGAGAGAGAGTGTGTGTGCGCGTGCACATGAGTGGGGGTGGGGCAGCAGGCAGAGGCAGGGGTTGAAGCAGACTCCCCACTGAGCAGGGAGTCCGAAGCGGGGCTCCATCCCAGGACCCTGAGATCAAGACCTGAGCCAAAGGCAGATGCTCAACAGACTGAGCCACCCAGGTGCCCCAAGGTGACTACTTCTGTGTCAACAGGAAAAGTCTGTTTTCCCTTCATGAAATCTGGATTTATACCAAAAGGTGGCAAAATGAGTGTTAGTTAGTTCTTAGTTCTTAGTTTTGTGTTTCTCCTCTTCCTCTTTGTCTTCACTACCAATTTCCAAAAACGTATACATTTTTTTTCTTCTTTTCATGCAAGCAACTGGGACAAACTCTAACCTCTCTCCAAGGAAGGAGACACCCAGTCCTGAATTCAGGCCCTGTTCTTCCACCATCACTTGTGGAGGCCGAGAAAAATTAAGGCCATCTCCCACTTAAAGTTTAGCATTAGCACAAGTACAGCCATCTTAGGCCCCTGTGAATAAGAGCTGAACTTTATGGGAAAAACTGCAGGGAATCCCATATCAGAAAGACAACAGAGCTCAGAATTGCCCTCAGCAGAGAATCCCATATAAGAAAGACAACAGAGCCCACGCCCATGGTAGAAAGTCTCATATTAGAATGAGAACAGAGCTCAATGCCCTTGAAAGCCCCCTATCAGAATGTAAACAGGACGTGGAGAAATTCCTCCACCCCTTCTGAAAATCCCCTAGACCAGCCTATAAAAAACCCAGCTGTAACCCACTTCGAGGTCCAAGTCCCTGCTCGGCTGTGTCGAGTACACTTGGACCCAAGCTGGAGCTTGCTAATAAACCCTCGTGCGCTTGCATCGGTGTCGGCTCCTTGGTGGTTTCTCAGATTCGCAATCTTGGGCACAACACACTAGCACCACTGCTAACACCTAGTATTACACCTTCCATCCCATTACTTCTATTAGACTTTCCCAACATGGCTATTTTATCGTCTTCACATGAAGCCACATCTGGTTAGTGCAACTTTATGAAATGCAAGATAGAGGTGCTGCACTACCAAATGGATCAGTTTAAATAAGACAGTAACATGAGTTAAAAGGTTTTTAATCCTCGAAAATATCCACAGTGTAGAACACAATTTATTATTACTATGACACTACAACTCAGGCCAGGAAAAAAAAATTCTGCTCTGACATATCTGTAATGAATAAATGAAAAGCAATGTGCTTTTTGGTGTAATCTCCTTTGAAGCAGGCATTAAATTATTAAGGATGTTTCCAGTGCATACATCAATCAAATCGTCCCCGGAAGGAACACCGGGTTTCACACCCATTCACACACACACACACACACACACACACACACACACACACACACACAGATAAAATCTATACCATGGTGAAGGCCTGCAGAGAAGCAAAAGAATGCTCATTCCACAGTAGGGTGGGGGTCCCTGGGGGGAGGAAGCTGT